ACATTTAATAAAAAAATAAAACCAAAATAAAACACATGTTTGGCATTTTATGTAAATAAAGATATATATATATATATATATATATATATATATATATATATATATATATATATATATATATATATATATATATATATAACTTAGGAAAGAAAAACATCAAAATCCGAAGCAGCTTCTATCAAACATTTTTCTCCACTTACTTTCACTTTATAATTTATTGGAAATGAAAAACTACAGAAGCACATAACTAAAGAACTTCAAGCGATTAAATATTTGTGTCAGAGAACATCTCAATGGGAAAATCACATAACTTAATATGTACACAGAGGTCTATAAAGAGAGAACAAGGCCAAGGTTTTTCTAGACCTGAGCAAACAGATTCTCAGGAGTTTTGTAGTCTGAGATTAGGATTGAGGGCAGTGTTAAAGAGGCAATGACTTAATGTAGTGAGTAGGCTACTACAAAGCAAGGTTGATTGTGGGTAGTAGCAGTAGTAGTAGAAGTAGTAGTAGTAGTAGTAGTAGTAGTAGTAGTAGTAGTTGGTAGTAGCCCTAACACCATGAGAATGTGGAGGTTTGGGGTCAGAGAGGAGAGTGAGAGAGCCCCGAAGCTGCCAAAAAAAACAGCTGGACGTTTAAACGTCAAAGGCACCGAGGAAGAACACAGGACAGGAACAGGAAGCCCCGGCACAGGAAGCACATCATCAGTGAGTCAACAGCTTAAGCCGCGTGATCCAACTGACCAGTAGTGAGCGCTCTGCCGGGGTGCGCTTTGAGATGGGGCTTACGGGGGCCTTTTTCATGTCCTCCTGGTAGGGGATGGTGGCGCTGTTGTGGAGGTCCGAGTTGGAATAGTAGCAGCTGTGTCGGATGCGGTCCACTCGGACGAGCTGACGCTCCCTCGCAGGCCTGTAGGGCGAGGATGCCGACGGGACCTCCTCGGCAATGGTGGGAATGCGCTCGTTGCTGAGGTATCTGTACAGCAGGTCCTCGCCTAAGGAAGGAAGACAATGAAAGATTCTCATCAAAGAGATAAAGGAAAAATATATAAAGCTAGCAAAATGTTTATATAAAAACTGAGAACTCAAAAGATAGGTGTTTTTTTTTTTTTAAATATGCAATTTCAGTAGAAATTTCTTTAAGCTGCTGTAGTCCTAACAATGTCCTGGAAAATAAAACACTGACAAACATTTCCATGGACTGCTTTCATTAAATATTTAAAGAATCACTTAAACTGACACTTTAATCCAGAGAATGGATTAAAGTTTATAATAGAGAGCCACAGAAAAATTGTCTGGTGATCAAAATCAACTCATTTGACAATTAAAGGGTTCTCATTAGTGGTTGAAAGCCGTTTCTCTGTGAACACAGCAAACAGAAGCAGATACCAGTAATATCAACACTCCCTAGAGTGGAAGTTGCTACTGAAAGGAGAGCAACTGTTAAGTCAGTTTCAAATTGTGTTGAGGAACAGTGGCTGTGAACACAGTCTGCTAACAACAAGGAGGTAGATCACAGTAAAAACCAGAGACTAAGATTTTACAGTGAAACTGCACTGTTTTGTTCTTTTGAGCCATTCTAATCTATCCCTCCTGAAGCATGCTTATTCCCTAAAGAACACACAGTTAGTAATCGGTATTTAAAATAGTTAAAAATGTCAATTAGGTAATAAAACAAAAAAATGTGCTTAACTGAAGAATCTCTTTACCAGAAGAATTAAAATTTATTTGGAGATTTTCAGGGATGTGCATAGATAGCTCTAAGTATAAAGTTTTAGAGAAATTATAATTCTGTTTTATACTAGGCCACTGTCGCCTAGTATAAATAAGCCTAATATATATATATATATATATATATATGTATATATATATATATATATATATATATATATATATAATACTTATTCAGAAAGCTGAAGAAAGTATCCTACCGTCCGTTTCTCGTGGAAACATAGGAATTTGTTAAAATCAGTATCAAATGGCTGTAGAATTAGCAAACTAATGATTCAAAATATGAATACCTTTTCTGCCATGTGCCCAGGGCTTGGCGTATGTGTCCACTACTGCAACACAAGTGTCTGCTGGCATCGACAGTGGCCTCGGCTTACCTTGAGACAAGAACGTCACGTTTGTAAGTTCTATTTTCACAACGTTACGAGTCCTTATGCATCAGAAACATATTTATTTAAGATACCGACCACGTGAAGCCCTGTGCTCCCTCATTCTGGGCTGGATTACGGTGGCTTCGATGGGACATCCGGGGTTTAACTTGTCATAACCTGTGATGGTGGTACGTTGTCTGCTCTCCTGGTCCAGGAAGGAGTTGGGTGACTCAGAGCCCTTTGGTCTTTTACTGATGCTGGAGAGGGAGTCTGTTCTCATCTCACTGCACGCAGAAACAAATGTTTGCTTATTAATCACAGCTCAACCCACATTTCCATGGCATCAGAAGTAGATCATGATGACTTGCAAACAAATAGTGTTACATGAACAAGTCTAATCCAAGTGAACGGAAGAGAAAAGTGTGCAGTGTGGGATGCAGAGTGGGCTGAAGATGAGCAGATGAGAATGTGTAGTAATGAGGGAGAGAAGTGAAAACATGACTGCAGCCCACTATTTATGAAGCAGGTCTAAATATGTCTGATCTTAAAAGATGTTACATCATAAGATGTTGTTGAGAAGCATTTCTTCAGCAATTCCTGACTAAATTTCCAATTTTCAGCCTTTTAAATTAACTTTAAAATATAAGATACCACAGGTCACCATGAATTTGTGGCATATATTTCTGTACCCCATTGGCTTTGAATAAAAACACAGAAGCTACAACAAAAACACGCAAGAAAGGAAAGAAGGTAGAACACAAAAAAATGAAAAAAAGAGAAAAATAAATACATTAAAATAAAGCAGCAAACAAGGAAGGAGACATTGAAAAAATGAAAGAAATGGAAAAGAAATGCGTAAGACATGAAAGGACATAGGAGACAAGAAAACAAGAGACGCAACACACAAAAGGTTGGAATCATAGATGGACACAAAGAAATGGAAGCAAATTAGGAAGGATTAAAGTTATTTTGACACAAAGAAGGGTAGAAAGGAACGGACAAAGGAGAAAGGAAAATAGACCACAAGAAGGATTTGAACACATGGCTCACCGTGGAGTGTACGGCACTGGAGGCGGTGGAGGAATGTACAAGTCCATAATAGCTGGCTTCTCCTTTTTAGTGGATCCATTAGCTGAACTGGAGGGGGACTGGGATCGGATCAGGGAGGAATTATTCTGGAAAATAAGTATTTTTACATAAGTTATTACATCCTGATTACATGGTGCGGCCCTCAATAAATCCAGCTTCAGCATCAATCACGGTCAAAACAAAAAGATTATTATTATTATTATTTTTAAGTTTTTGGCTTGTGCTTTTTCCACCTTCAAATATTGCCTAAATATAACTTGTTGGTAAAAGGGAGGAGCTCACCATATGTGGTGAGACGTTTAAGTACTTGTGTGTGTCTACAAGTATAAATTTTCTTGCTTTGAGGTATGGAAAGATTGTAAGTGAAGTCTAAAATAGACTGCAAGACATTCACTCATTTACCACAGTTATGTTTCCCGACTCAACAACTAAATATTTGGCTTTTATCTGCTGCAGTTCTCAGCCTTAAATGGAAAAGCTGGTTCCTGTTACCCAGTAATTGATATAACAATAAAAACTTATTATTTCATAGGGGTTCCCATTAAGGTTTTAGTTTAAAATACATCAAAATCGTGTAGAACAACCAAATCTTTGTGAGTCAGGCTGAAAGACGTGGCACTGTTTAGGCTTTGAAGCCTCATTATCAAAGATAAACTGAGATGTCTAACTCTGATTTCCTCCAGAACCTGTTAAAACAAGCTGCTGGCGTTTATGGTCCCCATTGTTCTCTGAACCCTCTCTCTGCTGCTTAAAGATATCAAATCTGTTATTCTCTCATCTTGGCTTCTCAGGTTATCAAGCAGGCCACGCATGATAGCACAGTTCCACGGCGTGAAAACTGGAAGTGTAGGATTACAGCGGGCTAATAGACTTACTGTTTGTTAAAACAGGAGTCAGATAAGAGATGCCCTCATGCCAGGTCTGATGGGCTCACAAGATGAAGTAGAACAAATGTACATCTCTTAGAAGTCGCTTCTGTTTGTTATTGTTAACAACACTAAAATGTTCTAGATTCAACCAATTATGAAACTCAGACAATGATGATCTGAGTAACTACAAAAAAAGAGACATTTTCAAGCGATGATTTCAGCTATTAAAGGAAAGCTTATAAAGTAATCCTGTACAAACCAAACCGCCCTGAGAAAATCCACAAAGAGTGTCAAGCATTAGGTCCTGACCTTAAGTTCAAGTACATTTTGGTCACTCAGGATGATCTAAAGCACAGCAGCAAGTCCATCTTTACGTGGCTCTGAAAAGGACGTCTTGAAGTGGCTTAGTCAAAGTATCAATGCTGTGGCAAAACCCTAAACCTGTCGCTCATGTTCAAAAGCAATTCTACACACAGAAGTAGGCTAAAATTCCCTCCACAGCAATATAAAAGACCTATTGCTAATCATTACAAAGTCCCTGATTACAGTCATTGTTAACTGCAGCAGCAGTGGAAACCTGCTGCTGCTGTGCAGAGCAGGTATGTGTTAGAAACATCAAATTGTTTTAATTAAAACAATTTGATAATCTGAAACAAGTCATACGAATAATGTAAAAAATAAGAAAAAAAAAAAAAATCAATGGAAATGCTTCTCATTTCCCAGTTCCCTTTAATAGTTTGTGATGTTTTATCTAGAAAAAATCAAGTAAGTTTACTATGTTATGCTCCCATCTCTTTGTAATAAAACACCTGGGTCATCTTCTTTTTTTTGTGTGTGTACTGAAATAAGCTAAGCAGACCCAAACTCTACAATAGGTGGCTTTATCTATTAGACTGAATGACTTCATGGGAGTTTCTTTTGCTCTTTTGTTGTACCTAAAGATAAAGCTCAATAGTGTCTTGAGCTCAGCCAGCAGCATTCTCAGGGTGGCTCTGTCTGAACATGCTGATCGTGGAACCAACTCCCTAAAAAGCTAATAATTAGTTGACAGCGATTAGCCTGACATGAAGAGAAAGATGTCTGCATGTACTCACCTGAGGTACGGGGGGCTTCCAGCGCATGTTCTTAAGCGGGGCGGGGGTGAAGCTTGTCGTTCCTGTCGGCCTCTTCTTCAGTAGTAGGACCACGCCTTTGGGGTCTTCTCTCAGTTTGAAAACAAGGTTTTTCAACTGCCAGCCAACCTGATCAGACAGGCAGAGAAAGAATAATTTTTACACAAAACTATTAATGTACAAGATAGTTCTAAAATAAGCAAAGGTTGCATCCAAGTAAATAAAATAAAACAGTAATAGAAACGCTTAAGAATCATTTCTTATTCAAGTTTTAAGAAATGACTATGCACATTATTAGAAAATATTGATAATATAATATTTAATCGTCTTTGAAACACTGCTGTAAACAGAAAGGAAACAGAAAAATATAGGTTTTATTTGGAGATAAAATTAATTCTGAGAAGAAAGCAACGGTTAGGTTTCATGTGTGCTATGTGGATTTCAATCTTATTGAGTCTAGCTGAGGGGTTGTTGCTACCTCTGCATACATGGGACCAAAATAAGTGTGACCTCTGACTCCACAGATTTATATAATTGCCAAAATAGTGCCGTTCCTTCTTGTAAAGTGTCAACCACACTAGATATAACAAGACAGAACCAATTCCTAATCTTATTACCATTACTACAACTTGTACTTAGTTCACAATAATAGATATTAAGCTCACCACTGTTTGCTGGTTGACCTGAATCACTTCATCCCCTGCATGGATCTTTCTCGAAAGGTCTGCAGGAGACTGAAAAAAAAAATGTAGACAGGAATTATTTCTTTAATTGTTTTTCTCATCACATCGAGGCCAGACAGGATCAACTTGTCGTGATTTGCGATGATTCAGATTCTGATTCACATTCAGAGATCGGAGGCGTTAAGATCCCACTGTTGATGTGATGCTTGTGCATTAGTCACTGGCTTGTTGTCTCAGTGTGGGTTAAAAAAGGGCAGGCTTTTCTGTAGACGCTGTTTGTCACATTTTCTTATCATTGAAAACACAAACAACTCCCCTCTCACAACCTTTTCCTCCTTCGGATTTTGAAACTTTCTTTTCCCACGTCAAACGAGGAGGAAGATGAGAAAAAGGCTCAGACGTAAATAAATCCTTCAAGGAGAAAGGCTGAATGTGTTTTTTTTTTTTTAAGTTCACAGTTGTACTTACATGCTCTGTAGTGCCAGTGATGACATGCAAACCATCGTACGTCGACTTGATGTACATTCCCTAGGTTGAAAAACAAACACCCAAAACCTTAATTGTGGTTGTGGTTTAAACACAATATTCCCAGAGGGAGACGCATGGATGACAGAAAAGTGGAAGGCCACAATCTGACGTGCATTTCATGCATTCCTGGGAATTATTGAAAAAAAAAGAAAAAAAAAAGCAGGATTTGACAAACTCGTATGAATTCCTCACCAGCCCCTCGCCTGGTTTGATGTTGGTCAGCTGGACTTCCTCCAGACAGGCAGATTGGCTCATGAGGGGGTCCGATGTGGTTCTCACGGTCTGGTCACAGATGTTGTTCAAAGTCTTGGACTGCAGAGGGACAGGTACAGCAAAATGACTCGAGACCTTAGTAAACTGTGATCAAGCTTATTTTAAATGCAGAAATGACATGCTACGGCCTTTACTGTCATTGGGAAGACTCTTAACTTGACTGTTCTCCAAAAAACATCCTATTCAACATGCCTCGCTGCACAAGAAACTGTTCACAGTGTGCTCTGTTTAAGTACATTAATTACAAGTTGAGTGGAAGGAAAATGCATGTACAAGCAAGACAGGTGCAAGCTTGAAAAGATTTTGAACCAAAGCCCATTCAAGCGCTTGGAAATAGATTCAGAAGGCGAGGACAGTGGTTGGACTCAGTGGTTCAGTGGCACACAGATGCTGCAATAATGCATTCCTTCAAGTAAAAAGAGTATACAGTACTAATATACCTTTAGATAGCCCAATTATTCTGCCAAAAGACTCGACAGAGTGTCAGCAACAGGAAACCCTGATTGATAGCGGGGGCGTAGTAGAGCCACCCCCATCTACTGACAACCCTATGGACCTGTCTGCTCTTTGCACTCAGAAAATGATCTGATCTGCTGAAAGCATTTGACACAATTGCTTTGGTAAGGAAAAAAAAAAAAAAAAAGAAACACACACAGAAGGCTTTTTTCTGCAGTATAAGAATGTATAATGGAACGTCTGGTTCTCATTTGGTTTACATTTTATGGACTTGCAGGAAAAGACCTGGCATACTTACAACTTCCAGAATCTTTTCTTCCATCTCATAGACGCTGCAGTCCTGTTACAGGAGAGAAATGACAACAGATTAAACTTGTGAGCAGTAAACAATAGAGAGAGAAAGTTTTCTATCACTTGAGGGAGAGAGACAGAAAAAAGTACATGGTTCAGCTAAAAACGATATAATCAGAATCCCATATATAGAACGAAGAAAAATGGGGAGGACCCACAAATAAACAGCTTGTAGTGTAAAATTACCCCTTTGGCTACGTTTTGTGGATGCCATAATTGCATAAGGATCTCCTTGGTTCATTTTGGAGCTCTGGAGCTTAAATGGTTCTTAAGCGGATATAGTGATGACATAAAGATAACAGCAGGGGCAAAAGGTGTGATTGTAGTCTGAGAAATTGTCGACCGGAGCCATTTTTTTCCCCCCAAGCAAATGTATTGCATCTTTCCACAGTTCCTTCTCACAAGCAGGCAATGCTGGCATGATACTGACTGATTAGATGTAAAAATGCATCTCAATAAATTACAATATAATTGAAATGCTCTTAGCTGCAAGCCATAACCACAAAAATTAACAGAAATAAATGTGTGTAATACATTGATATAAGAAATTCACTCTTTGAAACCTTTACTCAGATGCACCTGTGAGAAATGCTCCAAAGAAATCAGCTAAGTCAGCTTGGAAACTGTCCACTGTGTCCTGACAGCTTTAACATGACTGGATTTGACACAGCTGAGGCAGTAAGACTGTGTGCATTTCATTATAAGCTACCCCAATTTCAGTCTTCGTTCACAACACAGGACAACTGTCTGTTGAATCCAGACAGCTGAGGAAAAAAAATAAAAAATCTACTAAACCTTAGTCTCTTATTTCTTCAAAGTCATCAAAAGCCACAAACTACTGTCAACACAAAGTAAAGAAAACTGTTATGACGTGTGGGGGCATGTCCCAAACACAAAAGCAGTTCTGTTGGTCTTTGTAAATCCATTGTGCAGACAGCGAATGGGGGTCGAGAACATTTCTCTGCATTTCCATAGCTTTGCACATTCCACAAGGTTAAAGGGGAGAATCTGTTTGCAAAAGCACTTGGCCTGCCATACTGCTGATTTGTTTGCACTGACAAGAACTGCATGGCCGTATGTGGGAGAAGCATCTTATAACTCCTAAATATTCTCAAAGTTTACATAATTTAAAAGAACTCTTTGTTTATTATTGTACATTTAATGTTGCTATGTTTTCATTGCTTGAGGGAAAATAAAATGCTATTACAAACATGGTATGCAGGGGGGAAAAAATAAGAAAAAAAAACACAAATCCTCCCATTCTTAAAAAAAAAAAGTTTCCATGCAATCTCTTTTCTAATGTCAGCCTACACTATATGGTGGTTTCAGAAAGAATCTATGCTTGCATAAACAAGCAACTGCATATTTCCTTCAAGAATGAGGCCCATGTTTGGAGGAAAACATGACTTAGCCAAGAGGAATGGACTAAAAATACATGTTTCAAGAAATCTCGAAACAAAACAGTTTAATTACAGGCTGCAGACATAATCTGGCCAGTCTGCCATCAAACATTTACTGAACCTTCTTCTTATCATAAATATAAAACAAAATGGAAGCAGGGCAGGATAGTAACCAAGTACTGTGAGACACTGAGGACCAATTCCCAGGATGCACTAATCCCTTAGATTACACATACTCCCATAACCAGAGTGGATCAGATGACTGCGTGCAGCTTTGATCTGCTAGCATGAAGTGACCAAGGGACAGTAAAAAAAAAAAAGGGGAAAAAAAAAGAAAAATCCAGATGCTTCAAGCCTGGATTCCTGATATTTGTTTTTCATGTAAAGCGATGATTTTAACATTTTATCCTGGTTAATTATTTGCCCACTAATTGGTATTAGTGAGCAAATAATTTCTGACTAATATTTTAGAGTCGGAAAGGTTTGAAACAGTTCATTGCACTTGTTGTTATTGTTTTTCAAAATGGGTTAAGCCATTTTTAAATGTACTTTTCTGACTTATAACACATGAACAGAGTCACGCTCACTAAAATAGGAAGCCCTTCCATATATGGATGATGATGTAGCGTCTGAAACAGCGCCCTGTTGACGATGCTCACTGTCAAACATCGTTTTACCGGATGAGTGGCTGTTCATTTGCAACACACAAAAAACGACATACTAAACACTCTTTGTTTAGTGTGTTCAGGAAATATGGATGAACTCTATAAAAGTCACTTGGTGAAGAGGATGAACTCCTCCTAACTCACTAACCCACTGTTAAAAACATACTGTTTTTTAGGATTATTTACCAGTTTATCGACTGATATAAAACCCTGATATTGTAACGTCTTCAGCCATATCGTCCAGCCCTAGTTTCAAGTGACTTAGATTTCCCACAACACTATAATGTTGTGGGAAATCTAACTCAAGACAGACTGATAGTTTTTGTGTGTGTGTGTGTGTGTGTGTGTGTGTGTGTGTGTGTGTGTGTGTGTGAGACTGTTTGGTCAGAATAATATTTTGACATACGTCTTTTTTTTATTTTTATTAAACCCTCACAAGTAAAATTTGGGCTGATTATGCATAAATTGCCTTGCTGATATACAGTATTTTGGTGTCAGAGTTACTTTGTTTACATTTTATATTATGGAGTAACAAGATTATATTATAAACTTTCATTTTCAGTGAAGCTGCATAGTTTCCCCGACAGTGCTTTTGTCCTGAGTGGACACTGTGTTATGGACTGTTGCTCGAGTTTGCATTCCAGACATAACTTATTATTTTTGAGCTGCGTTCCAGGCTGGCTTGGAGTTGCTCATTTCTTTGACGTTTCTTACACATTTCTAAAGACACAAAAAATGTACCCAACTATTGAGGAACAAGTTGGAGCACTAAAATCTGCATTCCCTTTAAAAGCAGGAAGCCTAAAATCGTTGCTCCTTTGAAAGACAATGACATCCACTCTGCTCGGTCGGCCAGCCAAACATTGGTAATGTGTTCTCAGCTTTATGGCCCTGCACACTGGCTTCATTCAAGCGCAACATATAAATTGCATGATCTGAAAAGGTCCAACTCAAGGCACAAGTTTATGAATAGCCTGAGCCAACATCAGGCCGTAGTTCCCCATCGTCATAAAACCAATCAGCGAGTCAGTCTACTGTGCACCCAATTTATTAACCAGTGGTCTTCAAGGTGAATGAAGTGAGAAAGTCTTCTAAGTACTTATGACAGTTTTTTATACAGTTGTATTTTTGATGAAATTAGTTACTTGCTATGGCCTAGATTCATTGACCAAACTACTTCTCTGCTCAGGCCATGAGAAAAAACGATTCGCTCAATGATTTTGAGACTTTCAGCACCAGCAACCTCTGCACCCGGCATGGCAGAAGGGAAATGTATAACCCCCACTTCTCTTCCAACGACCGTGACCGAGTTGCCCACAGTAAATCAGCAGAGGTGCTGAAATCCCAGACTCTGGCAAAGAAATAGGCACTCTGGGAAAGGAATTTATTTCAAACCAATAAGCCTCTAAAATGACACCTGGAGTCCCAGCAGTCATGTTCACAAGAAGTATAAACTGCTCTATGCAAACCCTTAAACGATGAAAGGCCGTGCATTCAGTCTATAAGATTGTGTGCAATACAATAGTGCCAACAGCTGGTAGATTATGTATTAATCTAAGAGAGGAGAAATAAGAAATAAGACGACTGGAAGCTGCAGAAGAGACCAAAACAAAAACCACATGGCAAAAAGAAGACGGTAGCCCGAGGATGGTTGCCAGTTTCCTTCTAAAGAACATAAGTGGAGTTTTATGCAACAACAACAAAAATAAAAATACAAAAAAGAAAACCAACACCAAGCAATAAACAACTCCTTGCTGCGGGGCCCGGGAGGGTCACCTCATTAGCCAGCATGAGGGGAAAAACATCCCAAGAAAAACACTGGCTTCTGCATTAATGTACTCAGACCGCTGGCTTCAGGCTTGTGTCAAGGCTGCCAGACTAGATTTCCTCCAACGCTCTTTTAATGTGAACGTCTGTGCCTGGGGGTTAATGTGTGCTCAGTGGAAAAAGGCTATTATGTGCATGTTTTTGTGGTTTCAGGTAAAAGGGTGATGTTTTTAGCATGCAGACCTGCTGAACTGTGGTGGTCAACTCCAGGCACAGCTGTATGATCTTGTTCTTGGTAGCTGTGAAGTCACTGATCCCTGTGAGAGGCGTCCTATAGTAAGAAGAGAGAGAGGGAGAAAAAAGGAAAGATAAGATTGGAACAGGCCAATTTTTCCATATATGGCCTCCATCTGTGATTAGTGCATGTTGAGTACTAAAAATAAAAATCCCTACTTATTGAACAATTAAAAATGCAATTCCAACTATTTCCATTCCAACAAACCACCAATCGACACATGTGCTCAATGCACTTTTTCAAGACTATTGAAACTTAATAAAGGTTGGAGACATATGCTTTGATACATAAGTAGAAGATAACTTTGTCTTTATCTTAGGGAAAAGGGGGAAAAAACCTGAAGGAAAACTGGAAATCAGTGTGTGCCAGCAAAGATCTGATTGGTGCACATCTATTGAAAACTTGATATAGTCGTCACTAGAGACTCTAAATCAGTAAACAAGTAATACTGACAACCTGCTGAATATGTTATGCTTATAATGCATAACATGTTATGGAACCAGTCAACTGGAGAGGAAACTGTCATCTAAATCAAAAGCTGAACAGCAGCTATATATAAAACAGAACTTTGTGGAATAAAGTCTGACTTTCTCATTACCCTCCAATAACAATTTGGAAGATGCTGGCATAAAATACGAGACAAAAAAAAGTTATCATACCCAAAATTCAACCAACAAAACTGGTACAGTTACCCAATTTTCAGCTAGTTAAGGTGCGTTTTTTTGCGGATGACGCTCCGGTATATGATCTAATACTCAGGGGGCAATGGAGTGCAGTCACCTGTCAAGCCAAGCTAGGAGGCTCTTTGCAGCACCAATCAGCTCCACCACAGAGGTTAGGAAGTCATTTGGTGGCTTGCGAGACATGCTTCCCTCAGATGGGGGGCTTTTTCTGCGATCATTTGTAGCGATGTGAAGACTGTTGGTGGCAGCTCTCATCCTCACGACGAGATTCTTCAGGTTATCTGTTTCCACTCCATAGTTCTGAAATAAGATTAACAGAAGGTTAAAAGCTTTCGAATTAAAAAAATGCATTATAAAGACGTCAATCAGTTTAAATAACACAGTCCGAAAGTCCCACTCATTTCCCCTAAACGGAGAAGTCTTTTTAGTCCCAGGAAAAACATGTTTTCTGTCCTGTAAATGGATGTAATCATTTCTCTGAGAGAATCTACTGGAGAAAGATTTGACTGTATTTTTTTCTCCTTTGTGTTGGTGAGCTTTTTCTATTATTATTTTAAGTTTTTGGAGCTTATAAAACAAGATCTTCTCTTGTCTGTGAGAATGGCAGTTGTATATTAAAAAAAACCATTCCCAGTGAGTCTGCAGAGTTTTTTTTTTTTTTTTTACGCGCACGAGCAATCACCTGATTTCTATCGGGTTTGCATTCTTGAGCCCAAGTTGCTTCCTGCCTTTGCATTCCACTTATTTGTGGAGAATTCACAGGCAGAGGGACGCTATAGTCGGCAATTCCAAACGCCACTGAGCCGAGCACAAATCAGTGCCAAAGTGAGCAAAAGTCACTTTTTGTTGAAATGTAATGCGTGACATAAGCAAACTAATGTTTTTGACTAAACAAATGGTATTAGAATAAAATGTTTGCTATGAGTAAACAGTGGTCTGGCTCTCATTTAGCATCAGCTTACATTGTGCTGAATTTGTGCCAGCAGCACTGCTTTATAATGACATGCCAGTTGCATAATGTGCTTCCCAAAGAGTAAAACGGCACGTGTTTGGCAACCGTTGCCCAGAAAATCTGTTTTCTTTTATTCTGCTTTCAAACATCTGCTCCAAAGAGAAGTATATACAAACTGATTCACTAATCTTCTGTCCCAAGAAAAACACTAGGATAATTTGAGTATTCAAAGAGCAGCTCTAAGTGGCTTTGTTCCTGTAACACTTCTACGCTAAATGGCTTATAGGAACAATAAAATATGCAAACACATTTGAAGAACCTAAAAAAAGAAGGGGAAATCGTCTTAGTCTTTGGCTTCACATTTACATAGTTAAGGTGCAACTTTAGCATAAAGGGGATTTGAGCATTTTCCAAGACAAATGCCTCTCCTGCCTTCTTATTAGCAGTTTAATCACACACACACAGGAGCTTTGACTTTTTTCACAGATGTCTAGAGAGCTTTTGTCTTACTAGCAGAGCAAAAAAAAGAAAAGAAAAAAAGGAAACTCCTTTAGTGTAACTTTAACCTTGCCTCCTGATTACAAAGTCTGGATTTTTTTTTACCCTTTTATTTTATGTTTTTCACCTTTCTCTTAGTTTTTATTTTAGAAGATAGCAGAGATAACTGCATTACCACTATAATGTGGCAATGCAGTGGTACAAGACATTGCAAATCTGCCTTCATTTAAAGTCTCAAAGCTTCAGAAACAGAAAGTTTCATTTAAGAATGGAAGATACTTCTTTTGTTTAGTCAAACCTTCAAATTATTTTTTGAAAAACGCTTGAAGCAAAACAGTACAATCTCACTTCCTTTAGAGTTTATGACTAACGTGTAGTGGCTAAGCATCAAGTAAGAGGATATCATGATGTGCTGGAGAGCTGGAGGAGTTTGAGAGCAAATCCTGACATGTTGGCTTTCAACACCAGCTCTGCAGAAGACATCAGTGAGAGAGAGAGATGTCCAGTAAAAATGTTTAATGTATGTCTTTGTCCCCAGACAGCCGTTAGAAGCCCTCAACTTTTTGGGTGTAAGAGAAGCATGAGCTTTGGTTTCCTGAAGGGTTCATGTGGGAACATCTATCTTGTAATTTGGGCTTGAATGTAGCTTCATGCCATAAAAAGGTGAAATCTTCGATATTATATGTGTATGTGCATAAACATTGAAACGGAGAGGAGAAAATGAAAAAAGAAGGTTGAAGTGTCAAAAAGATTACCATGACAGGAAATGTCTGACTTAGCAGTTAATAGAAAAAGGAAAGAGTTTAGGAGGAGCATGTGTGGTGTTGATGTCTTCAGTTCCTGTCGGTTGCAATGACCTTGCCTCAGTGAAAGCTAATTAAATCTGGGGGGCTTCACTTCCTCCCGAGGGACATGTAGAAATTTTAAGCCATTCTTAATAAGGAAACCTCTAATGAACAAAACCCACAAACCTGCACAGCCTCAGTCAGAGGTGAAAGGTTGTTGAGAGTCCAAAATCCCTGGTTTTGAATTCAACAGAAGACAAACAGACGGGGAAGTTTATGTCTGTCACATACTTTACATTTGAAAGAACACTGCAGGGTAATTCAGGATAAAAAAAGTATTAGAACTACTTTCTTCTTGCTACCATGATGCAAAAATATTGCATGGATGTACACAAACCTGACTCTTGGTACTACAGTAATGATAAACGCCCTTGCTGAATTGATGCTCTATATGGTACAAATGGATTGAATGCTAAATCTATACAACTGTGCAGTAGTCAAGTGCTTCCATGTGTCTACTACAGTAGTTATGCACAAAGAATTTAAAGAGCAACCCCATAAAGGATGAATTACACCTCTCAATTGTTTGAAGGTGTAGGAAATCAAATAAAACTTATTGTACATATGTGTCAGGTATTTCAGTCTATACAGTCTATTTTTTTTAAGATTTATTGTTCAGTGCTGATTTAAGATGGTTAAATCTCAATACATTGTATTATAACCTAAAAAGTACTTATTATCCCAAATAAAATGCAATGTTATTTGTGTTTGCAATGTGACAAACATGTGTGACGAAGGTGCAGGAATATTTTTGCAAGGGCTCTATATAATAAATCTAACAGAGCGAGATATTCTGAAATGTTCAACATTAATTTTTCCCAGCCTTAATCATGACTCAAAAAAAAAAATCATCCATGGTTAAGATGTTTAATTATGGTAAAGAAATGTATATTTTTTTTTGATGCTTTAAAGAAAGTGGTTCTGACCAGATTCAGAGCCAAACCTCTGCTTCAGGACCCAGACACTTTCACGCTGAGGAGACTTCAAACTGCAAGTTTGTTTGCGGCAAAGAACACACCATACGCAAGCAATTAATGTAAACTGTTTTAGGAGAACACCATGTCAGAACTGCTGACACTGATAAAAATGCAAAGACCATAATCTGGACCCTTTAAGACACAGGAAGTGATAAAACTCTAAATCGATCCCATCTGCTGGAAAACCTAGGTTTCTTGGAAAACGAAGCACGGAGGGTTTTGCATTTTTCTTTTTATGCAGAGACGCTAAAGTAAGACTTTTTTTTTTTTTTGGACTGTTGGAGTTGGAATGAGACAGAAGTAGAAGTAGTGAATAGCTGAAGACAAAAATCCTTCCACTGCTTTAAACTGCCAACAAAAGCACTAAATCTCTATGAACTCCTCTGGCCCATTTGCTCACCGATACTGTCGTGTGGAACAGGATAAAAAATAATTGTCTGGAAGTAAATTGAAGTCCTGTGACCACATTTTAAGAATAATCTGTTTAATCATTGAAGATGGACATCAAACTGAACACATTTACATTCACTCACCAAAGCACAAAGCAAGTCGACGGCCTCCAGGACCAGTTCCTGGTGTCCAATCCTTGCAACGCCCAGCTCCTCCAAGTCTTGATGAGTGATCTTTAATAGCTGTTCTCCGCTGATCTTTTCCCTCTCAAAGTTACTAATATACTGCTGCAAGCTGTCATCCAACCCTGGAAACACACAAAAGAAAAAACATAAAGTTCCTGTAGAAAAACAAAAACACCCTAAGTTGTTTGCCTTAAAACAACTTAGTTGTTCGTAGCAGAGCAGAGCACGAAAGAAGTAATCTCTGTAACAATCACTGTTGCCCTGAACATCGCAAATTGATCCAAACCCTGAAAAATCATAATTTTCTTAGCACAATATTAATACATAAAGTAATATTTCTAATATCTTGAACATAACATCCTGGTTGATTCTATTTTTTGATAGCTGCTGTTTTTTTTTTTTTACATTTTATTGTGCTTTCTTGTACAATAACCATAAAGGAATTATTTTCTATTCTTTTAGTGGAACACCTCCTTCTACCTCAATTTTCTGTTTGAATAATCAGCGGCATATGCATAAACAAACACCCAATGCTATTGTGACAGTGGTTTAAAAGCTCATTAAAATTATGTTCAATTGACATTTGAGTTGATTTTAACACTTGAGCTAACCCCTAAGGGTGACACTTTATTTGAAGTGATTAAAGTTTAATCAGTTTTACTGATTAAACTTTAGCTTTAATAACATAAAGCTACATAATTTTTTTTTAAGTTTAATCAGTAAGACTTTTATAACAAATTCATGTTAGACCAGTGTTTCTTGGTTAATGTCAAGTTGTCATAGCAAAGACATTTTGAATAATGTTAACTTTGTATTAAAAGTGTCATAATTTACCAAATCACACTTTACAACAGTGATACATATTCATGAAGACTTACTGATGTTCATGACAGGTGTCATGTCATGTTTATGACGCCGTCATGTCAGTCTTATTCGCAACCCGTCAAATAAAGTGTAATCACGCTAAGCTTCAGACTTCAGGAAGAACTTCTCTGGATTTAAATAAAATTAACAGAAAATAGATGAAAACTGCAGGTAAGATATTAACTGATTACAACCTTTCAACAGAACCGCCGTTCAAAAACCCTGAACAGCCCTTTCTTGCTGAACAGAAACAATACAGTCTGGCTTATTAGTGCGGGTCTTAATTGCACAAGTAAAAGTAAAGTGTGCACAGTGCAGATAAGGAACAGGTGGGACGGCCATATTTGTTAACTAAACAAACTGTAAAGGGAACAACGGTTGAAACCTCCAAGTCTGTGAAGCTGCTGAAACAATGAGGCTATATTTACAGCTAAGTGGTGTGTGTGTGTGTGTGTGTGTGTGTGTGTGTGTGTGTGTGGGTGCCTGCAGTAAACGTGTCAGTATCAGGGACAGCCCTTGATGCTATTTAAAGATCAACAAGTTTGACCGTTAACTTCTGCAGCCACTGAATGAAGAAGCATGGGATGCAGGTAGCGCTAAAAGCACTGCAACGCTCACTGCTGAACAACATAAACAAACCTCCAAAACATGCCTTGCAACAGAGGGGGGAAAAACGGGCCTTTGTGTGTGTTTTTCCATGTGTGTGTTTAGCTGTGGCTGTGGAAGTAAAAGCCGTGTCTCTCTGCCTATCAAAGAACGCACAGAGAGGGGGCAGCTGCAGCTCCATGGCCCCGTGCCCTGCTTCTCTAAAAGGCCCGTCAGCTGCGAGACACCCTGACTCTTTCATGCCACACACACACACACGCACACAAACACTCGCACAAATAACATTAGTCAGAGCGAGGGTTTCAGGGCCCAAGGAGCCCTGACATAAAGCAGATGCATCCATGCTGAATTTGGAGCTCGAACTTGTTTTTTACTGCACCACCTGATGTCTTTGTGCTACCGTGACGCTCAGTCTGTGCATCTGTTGCTGACAGTTTGCATACAGAAAAAAATAAAACAAACAAATGTGTTAGTCAGCGCTGACTAAACAAGATCCAACCGCTTGCATTACAGCATCAGCAGATCTGACTCAACCTGTTGCAAGTCCATAATCTGTGAACTGAAGGTTTTTGGTGATGCAGATTAAGCCGAGGCCAGATGATATGCTTTGTAGATGTCAAATACTTTGCATTCAATCTGCTTTGTTTGGGAATGTGAACAGAAACAAAAACTATGTTTTTATCAGAAGCATGACAAATAATACAAACAGTAGCTTCTAACTACCAGTGATATCCGAAACAAACAGTAAGTTGTGTCTAAAAATCTTTTAACTTCACCGTATTTTCTCTCTTTTAAAGACAATGCTACAATCTGCCAATGAGATTGTAGCATTGTCCCCCTGTATATACATATATACAGGGGGAAACCCTGTATATATGTATATACATCAATGACTCCTGGATGGCTGCACCTGATTTTTACAGATCTTTAGTATTTTAGAAGGTGAGTTTTCTTTATTTTGATACATTTAATGAACAGGATTTTCTGCAGTATTTTACCTGCTGAAGATCAAAAAAATACAGTGGGGGGCTTGAACCAACAACCCATCAGTTACAGGATGAATTCTTATCTCCAGAGCCACTGCCGCCATAGACCCTTAACTTCTGTGATTCTTGTGTTTACTTCAAGCATACATACACCAAAATTTGTATGTTCATAATTTCCACCATCTCAAGCCAATTGTTTGGTACTTCTTTACTGTTCACAATACAAAGGTGTATTCCTATAATGTGCCGAGTTATATATAATGCCAATTAAAATTATTCAGGAGGAGTGTTGCCTACAAAACAAAATATGTATTTTGAATAAATACATATTCAAAATCCAGAGTGGCAATAAAGTTGACCTTTAATAACCGCTGGAATCCTTAGGAAAAGTTACTGTGTATATGTGAGCTGAAGTTATTCCCCCTGAGTCACAAGGGAAACTTTTCATGACTTGATAAACCATTAACCTACACACAAGTCAAGTCCATTTAGGCTCATTACATTTTTCTCATTCCTCAGCATGCTAATTCCCAGGCAAGACTTCAGAGAACAGTTAGATTAACCTCTGACTGGTCGGCATCCTCTGAAGGAATTCAATTCAGACGGAAAATGAAGGGGGGCAGAGTGCCGGCCGCAGCCAAGTACAAACACTGAGGCCAGTCTCCTAATGCGATTAGGGGAAGACAAAGAATGGAGTTTTCAAGGAGGCAACATTTCTACTTCCTGCTGTGTTAAAAAGGCATTTCCTGTTGAATGGTGCAACCATGCCCAACATCAAAGAGGGAAAGTTGCGGGTTGAGAGACACAGTAATGACCTCTGCTGAGTTATGTCAATTGTTCCGAACAATGTAACAATGCAACCAGACTGAGGCTTTAAAAAGTCTGAAAACAAGTGAGATGAAGACTCTCCACTTTCCATGTAGATGTTTTCTGATTTAGTTATCTACAACATTTCCTCTCGTAATCCTTTATGCACATCTCAGAACAGCAGCAAACACTTCAGCACAACCAGAGACTGAAAGTAGGACAAATGTGCTTTACAAACATTGTTCATTATAATTGCACTAACATCAAGGCTACAAAAGGAAAAAAAAAAACTCCAACACAGTCTTCCCCCTGAACTCAAAACATTCTGGTTAATACAAAAAAAATGGGTGTCCTTACTGCGGGGCTTATAAAACATTTATTGTCCCCCGATCAATGGCTGCCAGGGTGTGCGAGGGACTATCAATTTTCATTTAAGACAGAGCAACCAGTAAAAGAGATGGAGTGTCACTTTATTGTGAAGTGAGGGATGGGAGGCAGAGGAGAAGGCTGGGTGAGGGCTTTTCAAAGTCTGCGGAAGATGAAACACTTTGGATGAGTTTTATAGCGACTCAAAACTACTTGTCAGCTGTCTTCTAACTGCACCATGTGGATGAAGCAGAAGCAAAGACGCACAACACCAACATCAACTATAACTTCACCGTCAGTGGAGATGTAAAAACATATGTTGCCAATGACTTTAAATTAGAACCTGTATTACCAAAGCTACCATTATCCATCATCTGATTTCATATTTTGTGCCTTTAATCTGTGTTCCTCTAAAAATGAACCAACTAAGCTTTTTCTGTTATCTACTAATAGACTCACTCGCTTTCAGCCTCAAGGAAATCACAAAAAAACCCAGCTGTGGTCCATCCTTTGACTTCATTTTTAAGTGCCTCAAAATTATCCAATGTCGAGTCTTCTTCCTTCAGTTACAGCCTTCACACCAGCGTGATCTGGTAGTTGTTTATACGGTGCATCCATTGCTCATAAAAGCTTGGATTTTTGTGTCCGTTGTCCGGACCAATAAAGGAGAAAATCCTCTGAGGCAATTCCTTGAGTCTGCTTCTTCTGTTAAAGTTTAGTTTCATGCTGATTTCATTCCAGTTTGAAGAAAGCAGGAGAGTTTCCAAATATTCAACACTGCCTGGATTATAGTCTTGAGCACATTTTAAAAATCGGAAAAATCTTATTTCTTGACTTCTGAATTTAACAACATTTTACAGAACGATGGGTGTTATAAGAGAGAATTAAGACTCGAGCACTGTCCTGAAGACAACTTAGTGTTTTCTTTGCGCACACAGTTGCTCTCCTAGAGTGGCACCTGCTGTTCAGTGTGGGGTCTTCTTACCACCCACCAATTCAGCTTCTGTAAACACTGATTACATGCTGAACAGGTTATAAACGCATTTCTAGTGTGTGTGAATAAACAGACTCAAGCAAGCAAAGAATTGGAAAGTCTGTGCAACGGAAATTGAGTGAAACCTGTAAGCCTCTAACGCATTTGGACTTTGGCAGTATAAACACAGTTGTCCTTCTCTTGCAAAATAATATGTTTTGACCTATTCTCAATATTTTATAAACACTCTGAGCTTTTTTTGAAAAAGGTACACCTGTTGTGCAGTGCGACCTGTAGGTTCAGAAGAAATATTAGAATCTATAAATTGCGTTTATGAGGTGAAAAACAAGTTCAAAATCAGCCAAGATGTCTTCCTTCACCAACTTCATCCATCTGCCCCAACAAATGTGCAGATCAATAAGAATTTCAGCCCTGCTTCTGGTGGTCAACTTGTCGTTCTCAGGGATTTTATTACACAAAAGGGTGAAGAATCCCACAGAGAGAACCAAACAAGCGCCTT